TTCCTGCTCCTATGATGCTGCTTGGCCTGCTGTGTTCATCCAGCTCTACACCTTGTTATCTCAGAAAACAGACCAGAGTCTGTTACCCGAAGGCCCTGATCCCATACACTTCTATTCCCCACCTCCCATCACACACGGAGGACAAGCAACAAAAAGATACGAGGCTGTAAACAGGAACGCACTAGCCCACACACATATCAGAACGTAAGCTGCTTAATAACTTCCTGCAACACTACAACAAAAAACAAAAAGACAAACCCTCACTCACCATCCTGCACACTTCATAGCCACATCACACTTCCGGCAGGTCTGGAAGTGACGCACTCCCCGTTCGAACGGATTGCGGCTTCAACGCTCTCTTCCACCTCGCGCTCGCCGGCAATTTGCGATGACGTTCCACACGCCGTCTTCACGCGGGACGCGGCTCAGGCACGCTCAAGCGCACAGTTTATGTGAAACGTCATCGGAAGCGGGTGTCTGGCCATGAAGCGCTGCGATTGGCTGGACTTGAGGAAAGGTTCTGGGTTTGCTGTGATGTCGCTGTAAAATTGACCAGAGAAATGACAGCAGAGCGTCGGCAGCAGAGGAGGCTCACCGTTTAAATTCAGTGCACTTAGGCCGAGTCTGCTCAGTGTGGTCATTAAAGGTACAAGTCATAAGTTCAGGTTGCCTTACCAGTTTGTTGTCATGAACTCTATCCGATTGGATAGTCTAACTTCACATTTTATGAAAGCGGGAGTTTATAAACGCCCTTTTAACGTATGGAAAATGGCAGCAAAATGTTTGCCGTTTTGAAGCCCGCGAGATTTCCCTCTGGAGGCCGCGAAGCCCTGTATCTTTAATAGATATAGAACAGGCAGAGGCCATTCTGCCCATCTTGTAAATGCTGGCCGTTTATGCGTATTTGAGGGAGTGGAAACTCGTGGGCCTTGTCATCTAAACCTTGGAGGAGTTTGGCAAGCCACTTAAAAGTCTGAAATCATCCTGTAGTTTTCAAACATTACTACATCCTGCTGATCTATGGTCCTACATTCCATCAGTCAATGTCATTTTTTAATAGAAAAATGGCAGAGATTGCAGAAATCAATTGTATTTTCATTCAACAAAATAAGTGATGTAATATCAAGTCATCAAATACAGAATAAAAATAGAAAATGATGGAGAAACTCATCAGGTCTAACAGCTCTAGAGGAGATAATCGAACTGTTTGGGTTCTTCGAACTGTTTGAGCTCTGAGGAAAAGTCACATTGACCTGAAAACATTAACTTTTCCTCTCTCCGTAGATGCTGCCAGACGTGCTGTGCTTCTTGAGCACTTGCTTTATTTAATGTTTTCAGCAGCACGGTATTTTACTCTTAGCACCAAATAGAAAAATCTAATCAAACTGTAGATTCTGGGGATCTGAAATAAGAATAGAAAGTGCTGAAAGAACTCAGCAGGTCTGTCAGTAGTGCTGGTGCAAGAAAGAGTTAATGTTTTGAGCCCAGTTATGACTTCTGAACTGAAGGGGCTGTAAGATGACAGTTTTTTACTCTGTTGACAAAGGACCGAGTGGAACAGAAGTAAAGGAATGGAAGCATCAGAGAGGGCCAGTTGACAGCAGGTCGGAATTTGGAAGCAAAATTGATTAATTTTTCCAATCCTGGATGAGAGATGGAAGCAGCGGCAATGATGTATCCATTTACTGGAGAAGGTGTTATGGGAGGGGCCCAAATTGGAAATGTTCCACGAATCCCATAAAGAACCAGACATTACTTGGACCCATTAGGGTACCTGTAACCGCATCTTTGACTTCTAATTTGTTAAGTTTGTTTTCACTTTTAAAATACTCAATAAAATTCTGATCACACACATTTGATGAATTGTACCTTCAGTGTGTTCTGGTGAAATTTTCACTACAGTTAGTTAAGGGCATGCTTTTCATTGATAATTTTCAAACTTAATAAAATTATCAGGATCAAGGTTTTGTACTGTTTTCTCAATAGATATTTAGTTTTTAATTCACTAATGGGATGTGGATGTTGCTGACTGGGCCGGTATTTATTGCTCATCCCTAGCTGCCCTTGAAAAGGTAGTCGTGAGCTGCTTTCTTGAAGTACAGCAATTCACATGGTGTAGCTGACCCACAATGCTGTTAGAGAGGAAATTCCAGGATTTTGACTCAGGTACAGCAATATATTTCCAAATCAGGATGGCGAGTGGCTAGAAGGGGAACTTGTAAGTGGTGGTGTTCCCATGTATCTGCTGGCTTTGTCCTTCTGATGGAAGTGGTTGGGGGTTTAGAAGGTGCTGTCTAAGGATCTTTGGTGAATTTGGGCAGAGCATCTTGCAGGTAGTACACACTGCTGCGACTGATCATTGGTGGTAAGGAATGTGGTACCAATCGAGCAGGTTGCTTTCTCCTGGATGGTGTCAAGGTTCCTGAGTGCTGATGGAGTTTCATCCGTCCAGGCAAGTGGGGAATATTCCAACACAGTCCTTGTGCCTTGTATAGAATAGAATAGAATATCCTTTGTTGTCACGTGGATAGGCTTTGGGGAGTCAGGAGGTGAGTTAGTCTCTGAAGTTTTCCTAGCTTCTGACCTGCTCTTATAGCTACTGTGATTATGTGATGAGTTCAGTTGAGTTTCTGGTCAATGGTAAACCCCAGGATGTTGATAGTGGGGAACTCAGTGATGGTAACACCACTGCACGTCAAGGGGCAGTGGTTAGATTGTCTTTTATTGGAGATGGTCATTGTATGGTATTTGTGTGATGCGAATTTTACTTACCACTTGTCAGCCCAAGCCTGGGTATTGTCCATATCTTGTTGCATTAGAATATGGACTGCTTCAGTATCTGAGGAGTCACAAATGATGTTGAACATTGTGCAGTTATTGGTGAACATCCCCACTTCTGACCTTATGATGGAGGGAAGGGCTATAACCTTAGATGATGCTGTGTCTTCTGGTTCCTCTAAGTTTGAAATAATTGCAATTGTAGACTCAAAATGATGGAAATTCATCAAACATTTCATACAGCTGTGTATATTGCTCAGCACCTAACTGTAAGGAGCAATGTGTCACCCTGGGTATTTGTATAACAATTCCTTGCTCTTTATGAATAATTATTATATCCCTCTTTCTTTAAAACAACCCACTATATCATTAAAACTATACCAATTATGATTGCCTTTTTATACTGTATATCAAACACCCAACTTTTGTAATGTACTTGTGTATTCATAACTAAGAAAAAAGGAAGACATATCAGGAAAGTAGAAATGTTTGAAATAATTAAACCTGTCACAAGAGTCACAGATGTATTTGGGAAGCAACTGGACAATCTGAGAAAAAATGGGGTCAAAATAGGAAGACATATGTAGGAAGGGGCATTTCACAAGTTGAAATGCTCTTCAGAGGCAATGAATTCAGTGACAGTCCTGTGAATAGTTTGATGTTTGGTGCTGGGATTATGGTCCAGATGCTGGCAGAAAGAAGTTTCTGAGTGATTACAGCTTGCCTTCCTTAAGACCTGAAAGGAAGAGTAGATTCAGATGAAGTGTGAAATAAAACAGTGGAACATGGCAAGTTTGAGAAAGGGTGAGTTTGTGCAGCTGAAGAGAAAGGTTTAATATGTACATGTGACCTGCTGAGTTTTTCCAGACTTCTAGAGTTTTGTTTCAGATTTCCAGTATCTGCACTATTTTGCTTCATGTTTACAGTCTACTATACTATGTTTGCCCAAGGCAGTATTCATGGCATTGCTTTGGTGTAAGGATGTTGAGCCTCATTATTTGGATTTGGGATTTGTTACTCTGTGAGGAGTTGGAATGCTGTGATGTTCATATTGCTCCTGCTGTGTTGGAGTCATGCTTGATGTTACTCATATAACAAGGTGTACAACTGGATGAACACAGCAGGCCAAGCAGCATCGGAGAAGCAGGAAAGCTGACATTTCGGGCCTGAAGGGTCTAGGCCCGAAATGTCAGCTTTCCTGCTTCTCCGATGCTGCTTGGCCTGCTGTGTTCATCCAGTTGTACACCTTGTTATCTCAGATTCTCCAGCATCTGCAGTTCCTACTATCTCTGATGTTACTCACGTTGTTTTATTTGCGGGTGGTGATGTTGATGCTGCATCACTTGTGGGTGATGCTGTTGATGTTATCTCACTGGTTCATGACGTTAGTGAGCTTTTTGAGCTCAGATGGAGTTTAAGTGTGGACCCCATTCCTTCTCATTTTCTGACTAGTTTAGGTCTCAATGATGTATGATCTTGAAGTCTCAACTTCACAAAGAGCTCTTGCTTGGTTCCAGTTTACATGTTGGAATCGGTACATGTACAGTTTGTTCTGTCCTGTCCTGTCAATAACTCAAGCAGGGACTTAACATATTTGTAGAAAGAATGATCATCTTCTACCTGTGGAGACCTTCTATACTTTGTATCAGTGAGTTGTCTTACACTCTCCAAGTGTCATAGAGGAAGCATCCTCCTTGGCAAAGGGCTCTTATATTTTCTTACATTCACAAGCTCTGCACTCTAATCTATGTCAGCCTTTAGACATGTAGGTCAGAATGGCAGTAAGGTGAGGTTTGGATCTCTCAGCAATTTTGTGAATGTTTCTAGACTGTCTCAATGCAGCACAGTTCAAATTGATGTCCCTTTGGGTAACATGTTGAAACCTTACTGTTCAGCAAATTCGTGAAATTCTTTGGAGATCAATTGAGTTCCACTGTTGCATATTACTCTTGCAGAAATCCTTTGTTTCACAGACAGAATTTGACCTGCTGAGATTATTGTAGGTCATAAGTCTTTGATCTTTCAGATAAAAGGGAGCTTTGAGTAGTCGTCTGCAACTACGAGATACCATTCTTCATTGTGTTAATAAATCAGTTCCCACATATGGGCAGTACTGGAGTCTTTTTTAAAATCATTTACGAGGTGTGGAATTAGCAGGCTGGCCCAGCATTTATTGTCCATTGCTAGTTGCCCTTGAGCTGTCTTTTTGAACTACTGCAGTCTTAAGTGACTGTATAGTTCCAAGTCAGGATGGCATGTGGTTTAGGAAGGCATTTGGCAGTGGTGGTATTCTGACTTGGCTTTTCTTTTACATTTGTCTGGGCACTATTGCACTTCCACTTCATATTCCCATTTGCCTGCCAAATTAGTTTCAATCCCCACAAACAGAACTAGCCATCACTGTTGCAAGGATGTTGTTCCCGTTGTGATTCAGGAGCAACCTGCTGGACTTGTACAAATTCCACCTTCCCCAGAAATTATGTAAAGCCCTCTCTTGTCTGCCAGATGCAGCTACCAATCAATTCACTGTTTTGTCCTGATACAACTTTTGTCAGCTTTTTGAATCTTGGTGGGATTCCTGTTGGGATTAATGTGAGAACATCAATGACTCATCTTGGACCAACTGTTCTCCACCTCAAACAAAGTGTAAATTTCAGTCATTGTGATCCTTTCTTCCTCTGGGCATTAGATCATTAACGAATTCTTCCTCGTTACACAATACCAGGTCTTGAATTTCCTCATTCCTGGTTGGCTCCTATTCTAAGAAACTGTCCTGAAAACATTCTATGAAGTATGGACTAATTTTACCCAACTGAATTTTCCAATCCATATGTAGATTAAAATCTCCCATGATTATGACCTTATCTT